TCAGTGTTTCTGAACCCCCTGAAACACCCCCATTGTAGTCTCGAGTTTCTTCCAGGAACGAACACGTCACAATATTCCTCATTTCAATAATTCATACACAGAATAAAGGGGCAGGGCCTAGTTGAGTTAGCTAGCGCTCAACCAATCACAACACACCACCACACATCAAATAACTTACTAAAAACAAACTTATTTAATAAAAAAAAACCTTAAAAATTACATAAGCTCGATGTAAATGACAGAAACCATATTTGTTTAGTTGGTCTCGTGCCGTTGAATAACATGGGGAGGCGGGGTTTATGACCTATACTGGGACCGGCCACCGGGGGGCGATCGAGACGTTTTGGCTTCACTTTTGAGGGCACCCCCATTTCATTATTAGACATTATATTCAACATTATATATAGCTGTTTAATATAGTACTGACACTAAAACTCTGAAAACTAGACATTTTTCTCACACAGTAAATTTTATTTTGGGTGAACGATACACAATACGGATTGTCACTATCCACGTTTTGTAGTGCGATATACTGTTACACCCCTATGAGATGCACAAAGCGTGAATGGTTTAGTCTAACAGCTTTCTTGTATTAACCTGTCATCAAATATATTATATAACAAGAAGAGCTATTGTTGATCTGGGAAATAATGAAGTTATATAAATGTAACACAACATCTCCGAAACCCAACCTGAGGCGAAAGGCACTTCATTTTAGTCTTAGTCTTATATAGAGGGCTGTAATTACACCCCAGTGTTCACTGTGGCGAGAGCCGCCCAGTTTGCTGTACGTAATGGTGCTGACAACCCTGGAAGTGTGTCAGAGGAGTGAAAGGGACGTGGACAGGGCCGGATGGGAGCTTTGAAAAGGGAAAATAGCTCGTCGGTGACTCACAGGCGAGGAGGAAATGACGTCACCTTCCTCCCTGCACATGTAACCACTTGTAAGCGTGTTCTCGTTTGCCGGTTGCCAAGCGATGGTGACAAAGGCCTGAGTCACGCAGACGGATGGAGAGAACGTGTGTGTGTGGAGGGAGTGGCGCTGGTAAACCGCTGACGACACCCAATTTTGGTTTTCTCACTTTTGTTGCGCATTATTAGCATGTCTTTATTTTTGTGACATGCATTGCTCTGGTGTATGCAGTTTTATTTTACATTGAAAACAGCTGTTCGTGTTCTTTCTGGTCTTTTTCTTTTTGTAAGTGATGAGAATTTGTAATCTCTCATCTTTAGCACTTTTTTTAGGTGGTTGCTTACGAGACAGAAACAGACTAGACACATTTGCACGTGTAAACGTTCAATTTGTGCCACTTTTGAAATGCAGTTTTTCATCTAATACATACACTACCCTAGTGAAAAATGTCTATATCAATATACAATGGTTCATACTAAGTGCACTACAAATCCATTAACATATTTACCGACATTTTACTTGAGACTTACTGATATAAATATTATAATTAAACTTTATTTGGAGTACTTTTTTACTGCATGATACGCATTTCTTAATATTAAGCCTAAAATGTGTTTGACTATCACTATTAGTAAGGATCTCTGTATATTGTATAATATTAGTCTTTAAATGATGCATGATATTTAAAGTGTACTTGCAATAGTAAAATTTTAGCACAATTAAATATACATATCTTTAGTTTAGTTTATCTTTAGCACTATTTCTGGATAACTAAAGTGCATTAAGGACAAAATTAGTTGTTCCAAAAATTAGCAGACTTTAAGTATATCAATTTAGTATAGCGAAAGTACAATTCCAGGGTACTTATTTTAAGTTCATAAATATGTAATTGTCTATACTTAGCATACAATAAAAGCTTTTCAAATACATTTTAGTATATTTTTCCCGTTCCAACATTTGGGGTCAGTAAGATTATTTTATAACAGCAAAGATACTTTTAGAATGTGACAACATATTTACATTTCAAATAAATTCTGTTCTTTTGAACTTTCTATTCATTAAAGAATCTTGAAAAAATGTATCACGGTTTCCACAAAAACATGCAATAATGATCATAATCATAAATGTAGACAATCATCATATTAGAGTGATTTCTGAAGGATCATGTGACACTGAAGACTGGAGTAATAATGCTGAAAATCCAGCTTTGATCATCTAAATTACATTTTATAATACATTCACATAGAAAACACTTATTTTAATTGGTAATAATATTTCAGAATATACTACAAACCATTTACATATTTACTGACATTAACATATTTAGATGAAAAACTGCATTTCAAAAGTGGCACAAACTGAACGTTTGCACGTGAAAAAGAAAAAAGTTGACAACGCAAATGTGTCTCGTCTGTTTCTGTCTCGTCAGCAAGCGCCTAACAAAAAGTGCTAAAGATGAGAGATTACAAATTCTCATAACAAAGAGTATTTTTGATCACATCCTATTATGATTATATTATATTACATTATATTATACTATATTACATTATATTATATTACACTATATTACATTACATTATATTATACTACATTATATTATATTATACTATATTATATTACATTATATTATATTACATTATTTTATATTATATTGTCTTATATTACATTATATTATATTATATCATATTATATTATATGGTATTACATTATATTATATCATATTATATTATATGGTATTACATTATATTATATGATAATATATGATAATATATGATATTATCTTATATTATGTTATATGATATGACTTGTAGAACTGTAATGTAATGATATTGTAATATCATATAATATTATGTAAGGTAATATAATGTATATTACCTTACATAATATGATATGATATTACAATATGTTACATTATATTATATTACATTACATTATCGTCTGTCAGGTTGTGGGCAGTATGGACGCTCACCCCAGCAGATACTGCGCTACAGTGCGAGTCCAGCGACCCAGACAGGAGATTATTGAAGATCTCTCATACATGGTGCGAGAGCTCCTCATCCAATTCTACAAGTCCACCCGCTTCAAACCCACCAGAATCATCTTCTACCGGGACGGCGTTCCAGAGGGACAGTTACCGCAAGTAAGGCCCTATTATCATTCATTCAAACAACCGAATGCAACACAGTTCGAAAGGCTGGGCTCGGTAACAGCTTTTGGATGTTTATTTGATAAGAAATAAAGTATAAACAGGAATTTTGTGAAATATGATTACAATTTAAATTTCTATGTGGATTTATTTTAGAATTTACAGTATTCAGTGTCACATGATCATGATTGTGATATGTGATTTGCTGCTCAAGAAACATTTCTGATTATTATCAATGTTGAAAACAGGTTAATATTTTTGTGGAAAGCTGGAAACATTTTGATGTATAGAAAGTAAAAATATAGCATTTATTTGAAATAGAAATCTTTTGTGACACTGTGTCACTTTTATTCGTCTCACGATGATTTACTTCGTGTAGATCCTGCACTACGAGCTGTTGGCCATCAGAGACGCCTGCATCAAGCTGGAGAAAGACTACCAGCCGGGAATCACGTACATAGTGGTGCAGAAACGCCACCACACACGCCTCTTCTGCGCCGATAAATCTGAACGAGTGAGTTCCTCGAAAACAGCGTTTTAAAACGCAGTGTTTTATTTTAGTATCATGGATGTACTATACACTATATAATAGTTTTTTTGTTATTATTTTCAGTGTTGTAATTGTAATAAATAAGTAATTAGTTACTGTAATTTAATTACTTTTCCCTTGAAAATGTAAAGAAAGGGATTACTCTTAATTTATCTGTCATTTAATTACAGTTACTTCTGATGTAATTGAGGTAAATACTGATCAATCCGATCTCACATCGATTCGTATGCATTTTATGAGGTGTCCAAATCGTACGAGCGCACTCGTACAAATTTGTATGAATTATTGTAAAATATGTATGGAAAAAGTGTGAAATGTCATGAGATCAGACATAAAACAGTAGTGGGTTTAACATCAAAATGTATTGTCTGATGTTAAAGAGTATGTTTTTATAATGTAACCTTCTCCACCTTGGCCTGTTTAAGGATAATTCATGCAATTTTATAGTATTTATTTGAAAGAATTAAAACAGATTCATGTCTATCCTTGTATTATTCAGCTGGGATTTTGAAAGTAATTAGTAATTAAAAGTAATTAAATACTTTTTAGAGAGAGTAATTAGTACAGTAACCTAATTACACTGTTGAAGAGGTAATTAGTAACTAGTAATTAATTACTTTTTTAGAGTAACTTACCCAACACTGATTATTTTGAATTAGATGTTATACTTTAGTGAGCTTTATTTTAAGACTAAGCTTAATCTCTGTCTGGGAAACCGCCCCATTAAAATGTACTAATGAAATTATTTTTATTAAAATAATGTTTTATGGTTTTAGTTTTCGTTGACGATAATAATTCCTGTGGTTTTGCTCAGATCGGGAAGAGTGGGAACATCCCAGCAGGAACCACGGTTGACACCAGCATCACGCATCCGTTCGAGTTTGATTTCTACCTGTGCAGTCATGCAGGGATTCAGGTAAGCGCACAGTCTTGGTGCGAACATGCGTTGGCTGTGTGCTTGTGAATGCGGTTTGACCTCCTGTTGTCCCGGTCTCAGGGCACCAGCCGGCCGTCACACTACTACGTCCTGTGGGACGACAACCGCTTCACGGCTGATGAGCTGCAGATCCTCACGTACCAGCTGTGCCACACGTATGTGCGCTGTACCCGCTCCGTGTCCATCCCGGCGCCTGCGTACTACGCCCGGCTCGTGGCTTTCCGAGCACGCTACCATCTGGTGGATAAGGAGCATGACAGGTGAGGGCAGATGCCATTAAACTGCATTAAACCATGGTCTGGGTGAATACTCGATTCTGATTGGCTGCAGGGTGCCCAGTAAAAAGTGATAGAGGAGTTCTGGTGAAACTGACTGTTTACCGTTCGAAATTAATAAATAAATGCGCTGGCCACATCCACTGTGAGTAACCATAGCAACAGGCAAAGTATCCGTTTACAATGTATTGCATCAAAGCAAACATCTAGTTAGCCGTTATACTAATACACAACTTTTTGGAGAATTTGACATAAAATACATTAAAGGGTTAGTTCACCCAAAAATGAAAATTCTGTCAGTATTTACTCACCCTCATGTTGTTTCAACCCCCGTAAGACCTTCGTTCATCTTCGCAACACAAATTAAGATATTTAAGATATTAAGATCACTCCTGCATACTAGTCCATAGGCTTCTTGAGGGAATGACAATTGATGGCCTCGAAAAGTCATCAAAGACATCGTTAAAATAGTCCAAGTGACTACAGGGGCTCAATCTTAAGTTTATCAAACGACGAGAACACTTTTTGTGCGCAAAAAAAACAAACAAAAATAACGTCAATCCATGTCTTTCTTTCTTCAGTCGAAAAGTAATTAAGGAATAATTTTTGGATAAAAATATACCAGGATTTTCTCCATATAATGGACTTCAATGGGAACCAAACGGTTCAAGGTCCAAATGACAGTTTCAGTACAAACTGCAAACTTTCCAAAGGGCTTTAAACGATTCCAGACGATGAATAAGGGTCTTATCAAGTGAAACGATCGCTCATAAAAAAAAAAAAGTTTAAGATTTATAAGCACAAATGCTCGCCTTGCTCTGTTCTGTGATGCGTGTTCGTGACTCTCCTGTTCGGACTCGTTTATCAAAATGAACAAATCTTTTTTCGTGTCATTTGGTTCATTCAACAAACGAATTGACTCAGAAAAAGATTCGTTCATTTTGATGAAAGAGTTCGAACAGGAGAGTCACGAACGCGGATATATATATATATATTTTTTAAATGATCGATCGTTTCGCTTGATATTCATCGTCTGGAATCGTTTAAAGCCCTTTGAACAGTTTGCACTGAAATTGTCTTTTGGACCTTGAACCGTTTGGACCCCATTGAAGTCCATTATATGGAGAAAAATCCTGGAATGTTTTCATCAAAAACCTTCATTTCTTTTCGACTGAAGAAAGAAAGACGTGGACATCTTGGATGACATAAATTATCAGCAAATGTTTTTTTTAAAGTGAACTACTCCTTTAAATCTTCCTCTCTCTTCTCTCGTCTGTAGCGGGGAGGGCAGCCACGTCTCCGGGCAGAGCAACGGTCGTGACCCCCAGGCGCTGGCCAAAGCTGTGCAGATTCACCACGACACCCTGAGGACCATGTACTTTGCCTAAGCCAAGCCTCACCTCATCAGGGGCTTCGGACCGACACACACTCCCTCGAGCCAGTTCACCTGGTGCTACCAGTGCGCACAGAACATGAAGTCTCACTCGTCGCGTTTTGTTGAGTCTGGCTGAACTATGCTCTTTTTTTAATTTAATTGTGTATTGTTATATACTACCTTCGCACTCCCACATGTACGTATGTATGCAATACGGAGGGAAGGAACGCAGACGAACCTGTCGTTTTGTACGTCACCACGAAGCTGCCTCTAAACCCGTCCGTCTGGGCTTCAAACGCCCGAAGTGGAGGAATTGTTGTTACTTCCATTGGCATTATTTTTATTGTTGTGAGATTTTCTTTTAAAATGTTTATTTTTGTGAAAGACATGGTACATTAGCACTTAGTTTTAGTCGTAAAGCACCGCGAGCCCAGCGTTTACGTGTTGTCTGTGAAGCAGCGCAGGCAGTGATCAACTGTGTCTCTCCAGCGGTCGCAGCGGTGTCCGCTTATCGGATTTAGACTCGCCTCGGTAGTTTAGGAGTGGCCGAATTAGCATAACGATAGATGGACTCACATCAGCATAACACCCAAACCAGCATTATGCACCAGCCAAACATGATGCCAACCGTTCAAAAGAGCCCTCGTCTGTACCATTTACTTGATGCTCTTCTGGAAGGGTTTGATTTTTACCATTTGACTTTTCCAGTGCACATACATCTTCTTGAACTTACAGGAATAGTTCACCCTACAAAGACGATTTCTTTCATCATTTACTCACCCTCGTGTCATTGCAAACCCTGGATTATTTCCTTTCTTCCATGAAACACAATGTGCTCTGTTTAATACAACACTAGTAGAGGGTGATTTATACTGTAGTGTAAAGGATAAAAAGCACCATTCAAGTATTATAAAACTAGTCTGCGTGCTATAGTCCAAGTGTTCTGAAGTCATATTTTAGAAAGAAAAAAAAAAACCCAGATTGTTATTATTTACTGTTTTTCAACTTTTGTTCCTGCATTTCATGTGGCCATTTAAAGGAGTAGTTCACTTTTCAAAAAACTTTTGCTGATAATTTACTCACCCCCGTGTCATCCGAGATGTCCACGTCTTTCTTTCTTCAGTCGAAAAGAAATTAAAGTTTTTGATGAAAACATTGCAGGATTTTTTTCCATATAATGGAGTTCAATGGGGTCCAAATGAGAGTTTCAGTGCAGCTTCAAAGGGCTTTAAATGACCCCAGACGATGAATAAGGGTCTTATCTAGCGAAACGATCGGTCATTTAAAAAATAAATTAAAAAGTTTAAGTTTTATAAGCACAAATGCTCGCCTTGCTCTGTTCTGTGATGCTCGTTCGTGATTCGAACTCGTTCATCAAAACGAACGAATCTTTTTTCGAGTCGTGACTCGAAGGGTCCTAGATAAGACCCTTATTTATCGTCTGGTGTCGTTTGAAGCTGCACTGAAACTCTCATTTGGACCTTGAACCGTTTGGACCCCATTAAAGTCCATTATATGGAAAAATTCCTGGAATGTTTTCATCAAAAACCTTAATTTCTTTTCGACTGAAGAAAGACAGACATGGACATCTCGGATGACATGGGGGTGAGTAAATTATCAGCAAAAGTTTTTTGAAAAGTGAACTACTCCTTTAAAACGGGACTGCAAGTGAGATTTGAGGGCTGCAATGAAGACGTTAATTGGTTAATAATGAATTATTTTGTCTGTTTCTCACATAAATCTACCATGTGATTTCAGAAGACACACACAGCCCTGTTATAATGTAAATAATGAGGGTTTGGTATGACTCGTTTGTGTACATGTTTATTGTTGGGTGAACTTTTCCTTTAAATCATTTCTTCCATTGACCTCTGTAAACGTAGCAATACAAGGTCACCGAGATCAGATCAGACAAAACACACGGCACGTTTAAGATGCTAGAAGAGAATGAGATGTTTGTATCCACCAAGAAATCCAGTTTGTATATAGTGACCCACTGCTCCTCGTGAAGGCCGTTGGGTCACATGACCACACACTCCCACTCGCCATAGTCGGTGACACTGCCACAATCCCTACCCAGCAAGCACATGCACACACAACACACTTGCCACTATCATTGCACCTTTTACCCTCGCCTGATGCCCGTTGGTGCAGTGAGCAGGTTAGGGGAACACTATGCCATGTAATCATGTCATAATGGTGGATGTATGAAATGCATGTTTAAACTGAGTTTGTGTCGTAACCGTACTAACATTTGATGCCATACTTTCTCACCTGTTAGGGAAAGGAATAGTTCGGCCTAAAATGAAAATTCAGTCATAACTCATTCCAAATTTGGATACTGGCTTTTTTTTTTTCCCTTCATAGCGCCGTACAAGAACGGATCATAATAATGCTGAACTGTCTCTTTAAGGAAACCTAAAAAAAAGTGGCATAGAATCTCCACAAGGCGGCATTGTTGGAAGCACCTCAAATCGTGTTGAAATTCAAAGTGATTTTTAGATGTTTTATTTTTAACTCATGTTTATGAAGACATGCCTTTATATATTAGGTTTTACCAACCCAACGAGGTGATTTGTATCGATCCCCACTGTATGATGTTGATCTGGTCTTTCTTAGACTGAATATTCTGATGCAGTATTGACTCTCAAAAGCCACAGGCACCTTGTGGGTGAAGAACAAGATGGAGGTGTGTAACGGCGTAATTGGAGAGTGGACTTCACCCGACCTCAACGTCTAAGCAATATTAAGCCACTGATAAAGAACAGTCCGTATCATAGCACTTCCCAATAGATTCAGTCAATGGAGACATAAGCAAGTCATTTTGGCTCTGTATGTAATAGTGAGAAGACTTTGTTCGGGATGATTATTTTTTAAAGAAAATAAAAGTTGTTTTTTATTAAACACTGTGTTGAGTGCTGTTTCAGATTGAGAATTTAACTATACAATGGCATGACGATATTTACAGATTAATATCTGTAAATAGTAGATTGCATTTGCATGCAACTTTACTTCCAAAATATGACCTTTCCAAGAAAAAACTAAATATTCGAAACAAGTTTTTACATTTTGATAAATGATGACGGTGACAAAGTTTTTTTTAAGAATGACATGCATCGATTATTCATGCTCAAAAAGACCAGGAATGTGTGAATGTGGTCAATTTTGATTTCATGTTGACTTTAATAATTGCTGTTTTCATGCGTCCTTTTCCAACCAGAACTGAGTGCAGTCACTCCCATTCTGGTTTATTAAATGCATCAACACCCTAATTCATGATATCAGTATTAATTTAAGCTGTTGCATTGAATCGAATGCTAAAATCACTTGTTCTGAAGTGTAAATCAAGTGCAATAAATCACCTATTCTGGTTAATTCAATGAGTTAACATCATAATTCATGTTATCTGTATTTTTATTCAAGAAATTTTATAGTAAAATTAGTGAATGGATGTATGGATAGATTTGACCTGATAGATAGATAGATAGATAGATAGATAGATAGATAGATAGATAGATAGATAGATAGATAGATAGATAGATAGATAGATAGATAGATAGATAGATAGATAGATAGATAGATAGATAGATTTTAACAAGATGAATGAGGCCTAATCAGTTGTTCGCACAAGCTTATGATGATGATGATGGTCACTCGGAGGCTGCCTCAAACCCCGCCCCCTCACTCGTGGACTTGCGCTTCCCTTCGCAGCCAATCAGCGCGCGGCTCTCGCGCCAGGTCCGTGCGTCTCGCTCGCGGACCATCAGACGCTCCATATTTAGCCGTTGCGAGTCTCGCAGAGACTGTCAAGAGAAACCCTGAGAGAGAGTTCAACTCTCAACTTATTTAATGTCACCACTGGCGTAAAACGAAAGGAATATACTCTTTTGGAAGGCCGCTAGCTTCGAGCTTGGAAGCCAGTGATGATCGGGGACTTTAAGTTAAGAGAAGACGGCGTTTGACGTGATTTTTTTTCTCCTCTCAGATGGGAATGTAGCTTAGCTGGTTAGCCTGGCCACTAGCAGTAGCAGGCTAGCGCTGTCGAAGAGAGGAGGCGACATAAGTGGACTTTTACTCGCTACAACGTCATAACACCTCAACAAACCGCCTCAGTCTTTCCAAAGACGCGTTTCTGAAGGCGTCGCGGTTATAGAAACAGCGATTCGGGACTGTATTTGAGCAGGCTGAGGGGAACTTTTCGTTTTAGCTGTCTAGCTAGCTGGCCGTAACGTCAATCTGTCAACCGAACCTGAAATCCCGAACAGATCTTTCGAGCCTTGTAACGTTACTGGGGCACCGTACCTCCCTCCTCTCTCTCGGCCTCCGTTGATATAACGTTAACGTACGGGCTTCTGGGGAAGCTGGATTAGGAGCTCGAAACACGGGAGGAGACGCTCGCATTGGGTTAACGGAACCGGTTCGGGGGGCCGTCGGGATCCAAGAAGAGTTTCTGAAGTTCGTCTACTGCGAGCCGGGGACGGAACCGGACAGAGACCTCATGAATGGAAATCGGAACTACAGGTGTGTATGATGTGGGGTCTTATTTTACGTCATGAAGGAAACTTTAGATTAGTTAACCATATGTGTGTGTGCTGAGCATCGTTATGGTTGAGCAGGTGTCTGTTCTGTTTTGACAGTTCTTGTGACGGTATGAACTTATTCATTGACTATTAAATCAAGAGAAATTAAATCTACTAGAAAGTGATTTTTTTAGAAGATGTGTCGCTTATATGCTTATGAAAACCCCAAATTCAAAATTAGAATATGGTGAAAAGGTTTTAATAGCTTTAAACCATAATCATTACATTTATAACAAATAAAGGCTTGAAATATGACACTTTGCATGTAATGAGTCTATATATTATATATTAGTTTCACCTTTTAATTTTTTTTAGGTTTCAAAAATGACGACATAGTATTTTTTTATTATGATTAAGACACCATTTAATTTGGAGGGTTTAAGATAACAGAACATGAAACAATGCATTTTTTATACTAAAAATGAATTCAAACTAAATAGGTTTTATAGAATAAAGTGATGTATGTCATGAATTATCTAATTATTTTAAAAGCAAATAATGCACTTGGACACAAAAATAAGCACATCATTTTTCATTGACCCGAATATGTTTGACTGGTTATTGACAGTTACTTGACTTGATGGTCAAAACGATTAATAAATTGGTCTGAATGATTCATTTGCTGTGAATTTAAATGATTTTGACACAAAAAATTGAAAATTAATTTGTCTAAATATAGCCATGGGTAAAACTGATTGTTTTGTCTAGTGTTTTTACCTTTAACTTAACACAAGAAACAAATTAATAAATAAATGATAAATAAATTCTGTATTTAAATTTAATTTAATCAGAAAAATTACTTTGCGACCAATTGAATTGCAAAGCAACTTTGCAGTTTGCACAATTATAATATCATGCCTCATAACAAAAATGCTACTACTTCTATTAGGAGTAATTATCGTCTGAAATTCTATCAGCATTTCTTTTTGTACGAATTACCTTATTATATTAGTTTTATAATTATATAGTTTTTGTTTTAATTTGTTTGACCTTATTAACCATTTAGCCATAATTGCATCAAAAAAGTAAATCATTTTAATTGAATAATCTCAGACACTTAATACTATTGGTCATAAAAAGTCAGTATGGGTCAGTTTCTTCTTTTAAGTGTTGTAAGAAGATGTCCCACTTATCGAGTTCTCGTTGGGAGGACTCAAGATTGTTCCATTGAAAACAATATTACTGAGTACATCACATCTTGTTGTAGTGTGGTTTAGATCAGAGCAATTATCTCATTGTGCCTCATCGTGGGCATTTTAAAGGCTGACTATGAGAGTGTGAGTCATTTTGTGATGTGAAGAAGCTCTGCTCAGACATGATGCAACAAGCTGTAAGAGGGTAAGAGTCTGGTCAGGTGAGTGACCTCTCGTAGCCTCACTGACCACAAGGTCAAAAGTTCATTACTGGCAGAGCCAGCAACATTTTGATTTCCCTTTTTAAGTCACGTATTCCTGTTTGCTTGTGGCTGTTTTCTTGAATGATACATGTTCTGTGTTGACTAAGTCTTCTTTGGCTCTGGTGGTCCCTATAATGTCTAGTCACCTGTGAAATACCCCCATGTGAAGGGGCTTTGTGAGTTTGAGCATTGGATTTTCCCTTAAAACGTGAACATTCATTTGTTTTCTAAACTTATGCGCCAGAGAAACAAGTGCACAGCCATCTTTTGGATATTTAGGATAAACGATATTTCGTTTTTGCGGTAGCTCTGTATATCTCTATGGCTTCGCTGTCGAAGAGTAATTAGCTGGTGAATGGATTTACTTATAAAGTTATCACAAGTGAAGATTTTAAAGTGAGCCGTTCATTCATAAAATATGTAAGATCGCTGTCGAAATACAAACCGGAAGACAACGAGCGCAGCGCTGAAAAGGTCTACTGATGATGAGAAATCATGCTTTTTCAAGATTGTATAAAAATAATGTTTTTTGCAACACAATTGGCAGCCTAAAAAGATGCATGCTTGTGTCCCTGTGAGTCTGTGCATCGTTCCTGGTGGGAACGAAGTGTCCAGTGACCGTGAAGAGACCTAACCTGTGCGTTTTTATTGGGTTTGATGCTTAATATGGCATGGCTCGAGGTGTTTAATTATACCAGATGTTTCCTGTTGCCAACGTGAAAAGGGCCACTGCCGAGGGGAAGCCCCGTTTGCGTCTCATTTCGAGGTAATGCTACAGGTGGGTGGGTACAGGACAAAATGATGTCGTTTTCCCCGCACAGGATGCATAAACCGTTTTTTCGAATCGTTTGCAAACATGATGTCACGATTGCTTCAGCGCTTAATGATTGAAATCTCTGGCCTTTCCCAGTGGTTTGTGCGGTTGTGCCACAGAGCGCTGTATTGAGTTTTGATTGTCGCTGTTGGTTTGATGGCAGTGCCAAAGCAGGGGAAGAGTTACGTCCTCTGCTCTTCATCTCATTCTGAGAGTTTTTAACAATAGCCCCTTTCTCTCCTCCGATCGCTATAAGCGGATGACACACTGTGGGTGGTTTCTTTGGTGACTGCAGTTTGACTTGCACTGGTATTGTGGATGAGGGTGACACAGACTGCTATAGTGAAGGTTTTTTTGGGTGGTGATGATAAAATAGTCTGGTGCTGTCTGTCACTGTCAATATCTATTCACTTTTACATGACTTAAAAAGGGTGATTTTTCAACCATAATTTCACTGAATCTTTTAAGATTTAGTGCATTGAATCAAACACTGAACACTTTTAAAGGAGTAGTTCACTTTAAAAAAAAACTTTTGCTGATAATTTACTCACCCCCATGTCATCCAAGATGTCCACGTCTTTCTTTCTTCAGTTGACAAGAAATTAAGGTTTTTGATGAAAACATTCCAGGATTTTCTCCGTATAATGGACTTCATTGGGAACCAAACAGTTCAAGGTCCAAATGAGAGTTTCAGTGCAGCTTCAAAAGGCTTTAAACGACACCAGACGATGAATAAGGGTCTTATCTAGGACCCTTCGAGTCATGACTCGTTCGTTTCGTTTGTTGAATGAACCAAATGACACGAAAAAAGATTTGTTCATTTTGATGAACGAGTTCGAACAGGAGAGTCATGAACGCGCATCACAGAACAGAGCAAGGCGAGCATTTGTGCTTATAAAACTTAAACTTTTTTATTTATTTTTGAAATGACCGCTCGTTTCGCTTGATAAGACCCTTATTCATCGTCTGGGTGTCGTTTAAAGCCCTTTGAAGCTGCACTGAAACTCTCATTTGGACCTTGAACCGTTTGGACCCCATTGAAGTCCATTATATGGAGAAAATCCTGGAATGTTTTCATCAAAAACCTTAATTTTTTTTCGACTGAAGAAAGAAAGACGTGGACATCTTGGATGACATGGGGGTGAGTAAATTATCAGCAAAAGTTTTTTTTTTAAAAGTGAACTACTCCTTTAAGGCAATTTTGTGTAGGATTTATTTTAATACAATTTTCGCTCTGAAATGACGAGTAAATTTCACAAGTAGCACTTTGAATTCAACATGACATTTTGGAGTATATAGACTCACTGAAATAGTGTTACTTACTTCAATAATTTTGTTTTGTTTACCACATCGAAAAGTGTAGCTAATTGGATTGTGGATAATGCCGTAATGTAAAACAGTTAAGCATCTACAGTAGTTAACAATAATCAAAGAATATTTTAAATGTTCCTCTAAATGAACATTTAGCTAGTTATCATTTCTTAAAAGTAACTTAATATCCAAACAGGCTTCTTGTATTTATTATTTTACTTTTTTAACCTTTTTTTCTTTGTTATTAATAATAAAAAATATTTTTTTATTCTGTATATATCACTCAGAATTTATTATTTTACTCATTCTATGTAGTATTATGAGCTGTTTTACTTTTGTTATTTTTTGAAGAAGCATAAATATAAATACATTTTGGTTATTGCTCTGTTTATGCTTTTTGTTATCTCTGAATATTGGTTATTTAGCCATTAAAAACGATCAGTACATGTCATTTTTCGGAAATGCAATAGCCATATAAAAAGCACTTCAAATCATTGAATATGGAGGATTTTGGTTGATTTAATATTGGCCAGCCCTCTTCAGTGTTCACCACGTCCATTGCACAGTCACTATGACCCATCACAGCTCAAGAATGTGATCCCTTTCATTTTCAGTACTGAGACACAGCAACACATTGTGTTCCACATCACAAGTGTGTAAGCCATAAATTGTCTAAGTAAAAAAAAGGTGGACAGGAGGAGGTTTTGGGACCCTCTGGAGTGGGTGTTTGGCCTGGGGAATGTTTTCATGGTAGTTGCGTATGGGGGCTTAGCAATCTCTCTGTGTACATGGGGCCCTCTTTGGCTTCTAGGCCCTTTTTTCTTTGAAGGTTAGTTGGGGGAAGGCAAAGGGGATCTGTGGAGGGAATTTAAACTATGAGAGGTAGACAGACATGGGGGAAAGGTTACGTCCCACTTAGGGCTGAACGATTTTGGAAAATAATCTAATTGCGATTTTTTTAACCAATATTGCGATTGCGATTTAATATGCGAATTAAAAAAAAAAAGTTATTTACCTTCTGTATTAGTCGACAAAGACAAGCAATAAATCATTGTACAGTAGGGATGGGAATCTTTAGATAGCTCATGATCCGATCTACTTTTTTCTTATTAATTAATCTTAATAACTCTTAAAATATGTATTTAATTACATGTGTAAAAACACATACTTTAAAAAATAAATATAAAAAAACATTTAATTAAACCAATTACATGTTAAGAATTTTAAATAGGCTATATAAAATAATATAGCTTCAAAATATAAAAGCTAGTAAATAAAGAGAAACAAACAAAAAAAACAAAAACATTACAAGCAATAAACAAAGAGTGGTCTCAGTATTTAAAAGTAGGCTGCCTGAATGTTTTTCATTCAAGAGCTGGAGTGATTTCCCCTCAGTTTAGATACGATAAGCTGCATTCAC